GTCTCCCTATACATATACGTCAGAGGAACTTATCTAAGCTAAAACCGTAACACAACACAGCCTCTCTATATATTCTTCAGTAATTTGTAAGTTAAGAAGTTTTGATTCACAATTAACTGGAATTAACAATAATTAACTTGAGTAGTCGGAAATTAACTCAAATTAAATAGAATTAACTAGAATTCTTGAACATTTACTTGATGAAGCCTCGAACGATACTAACGCCAAAATATATTTAACTCGGTATCTACCATAATATTATTACGTCTCCAACTCCCTCCCCTCCTTGTGAGATCTTTTAACAGGATATAATACGTTACGATTTTTACCCGTTCCCGGTGTAATAACATCATCTTGGGTACGATGAGACAGAGTCCAAAAAGTTTTCTTGGTCTTTTGTCTAAAACCATGAAGAATGAAATAGGAAAATGTAATAAATTAATAATATGTTGGGGACACCTACTGTACGTGTTTAAATGCCCCACGCAGCTTTTTCTCGTCTGGTCTCCATGGCGTCCAGCTGGGGAGTGATGCCATCCTCTCGTGAATTGAATTTTGTTTAACGTATCTAATTTCCTGGCACTTTTATATATGTTGTGGCACTTGTTATACTATTTATGATATTTTACACACATACAATATATCTAACACTTGACACTTGTAAAAGAAGCAATATTTTCTCGGGAATATTATCTTTCTGAAAACTTAGAAATGCGACATGGCAGTTAGCAGCGGGGGCGATTTTTTTCTTCTATTGTCATGTTACATATCTTACTATAATATACAGTTAAATGTATTTTCTAATTCACACTTTTTTTTCTCTTATTTACACTACACAAGACACATTATACAACACGATGTTAGAGAATTATACTGAGAGATAAACATTTGCTAGTCATTATTGTTGACATCTTGAAAACCGTATATACTTTTTGTAGTTGTGGATGTTACGGCACTTGTTACATTATTTTCGATATTTACACACAAACAAGACTATATACATGAGGGAGAACAGAGATGAATTGTAATTTGTCAAGGTAACAAGACAAGCATTCTGTGATGGCGGCCCAGGTAGTTTCCACAAACAACATTACGTATTTCACATATCTTCACCATTTTCACCACATTACACATATATCTTCACTCACTTATTCCTTCCTATGTACTGTATTGACCACCATGTTAACGAATCTTCACAGTTGAGTCAATTAACCTCTTCATATCACACACACTGTACAACACTCTCGGCTTTGTTTACCTTCCACTCAGCTGCCAAACGTAAGACCAACTACTAAATAGTCGTGTTTTCCTTTCATACATAGTTCCCAGGTCTTCAAATTGGCGGGAGAATATGAATGATTGCTAAATATACATAAAAATAATAAATACAAACCTGGGTAGCTCTTTTAGTATATACTGATCCGTGTATACGTTGAATTAATACTGTGAAGGTGTATGATCATTCTGCTGAAGAAATATCTATCTATCTATCTATCTATCTATCTATCTATCTATCTAATCAGAACATATATGACTTAAAAAAAATCCTGTAAATTCTGAAAAACTCCCATTTATTATTTTTTTATTTAATCATTTAGTTATTAAGGCAAGGAAGCATCTTAGTGTTGAGAATTTTCCCGTCAACTTTTTACTCTCGTCTTGGAAAAAGTTTTTGACACTTCGTTAAGGCTCACAGGTTTTAATTTATTTTATGTAAAGAAAAAAAATCAACTCTGACGCATGTTTGTGTGTTTTTGTTTGTTGTTGGTTTTTTGTTTGAAATTTCGTCGGGATTTTGTGCGTGTGTGTGTGTGTGTGTGTGTGTGTGTGTGTGTGTGTGTGTGTGTGTGTGTGTGTGTGTGTGTGTGTGTGTGTGTGTGTTGATGAAATTAAGCAAACGTATTTAGAATTTTTCTTTATATTTCTTTTAAACGATAGAAATTTTCATGTTTCCTTCATTAATATCCTAAACTATCTATCTATCTATCTATCTATCTATCTATCTATCTATCTACCTGTGACATGTTTATAGAGCACAATACAGGAATTTTTTTAAAGATATTATCAGGAAGCTATTAAAGAGGTTTAAACCTCCAAAACACCAACTTCCACCCCTCATCCCCCTGACCTGCCTCCCCCTCACCCCCTCGCAGCCTGCCTCCACCCCTCACCCCCCTGACCTGCCTCCTCCTCACCCCCCCTGACCTGCATCCCCCTCACCCCTGACCTGCCTCCTCCTCCACCCCTAGCCAGCCTGCCTCCTCCTCCTCCCCAGCCTGCCTCCTCCCTCACCCCCCTGACCTGCCCCTCCTCCCTCACCCCCTCACCAGCCTGCCTCTCCCTCACCCCCCTGACATGCATCCCCTCATCCCCTCCAAGACTCCTCCTCCCTCTCACCCCCCCCTGACCTGCCTCCCCCTCCACCCCTCTGCGTCTCCCTCCTCCTCACCCCTCATGACCTGCCTCCTCCTCACCCCCTGACCTGCCTCCCTCCTCACCCCTCGCAGCCTGCCTCCTCCTGCCCCTCACTGACCTGCCTCCTCCCTCACCCCTGACCTACCTCCTCCTCAC